TGAAATAACCAAGAAGATGATCAGAGCTAAGAGTGTAGTATGTACACACACACACACACACACACACACACACACACCCTATTATATGGATACAGGTTAAAAATATCATTATACAGATGAGAGACTATCACATACTTTAAAAAAGAATAGGTTATATATATAGCTTTATGTAATTAAAGATCTCAAAAAAGACAAATATGATGATCAAAATAAAAAAATCAAACCTAATCACTGAGAAGTTCAATGAATGGGATGGACAGTCTGAACATAGGTGAAAAACAATTGTCAATGTGCTGAAAACCAAAGGAACCCTTTCAGAACACAGATCAAAGAATGTGAGAAACATCTAGAAAATGAAGCAACTTGGAAGATGCAGATGACATTCTTCTTACCTCCCTTTTAACCCTCCTGGGTTAAGTGTAGGGGGAGAAAGATCAGCATCAAGCTGTTGCATGCTCCTGTCCGAAGCTAACTCACATTAGTCAACAAGAGAATAACTTTCTTTTTCAGGAGGAGGAAAAATGTGCAGGAGGTATGGCTCTAGAAGGTCTCCACTCAAGTTCAATTTAACTAATCTAAACACGATCCAATTTGTTTCCTTGTGATTTAATTTTTTAGCCTGAGAAACAAACCCATTCCAAGCTCTTTACAAAAGTATTTCCCATTAAGTATCAAGACAGACAACAAATAGCCCCACTTTTAATTTTCACTTACTTCACATGTGCTATTTTCTCATTATAATGTCATCAGCATGTAGAAGGATTTCCCAAGGCAATGATGATCTATGTGTACGTAATTCAGGCTTTATTGAAATTTTAACCTCATTTGGTCAAACTCCAGTTTGTAAGAAGTAGAGTCAGGATAGCAACCCAGGCAATCTCTCTCCAGAGGCCACGTCTGTAAAGACTGGGCTGGACCATGAGCTAAGGCAGGCTTTCCCAACAATGGCACTGCTGACATTATGGACCAAATAATTGTTGTGGGGTTCTGTCTTGTGCATTATAGGATGTTTAACAGTGTCATTACCCTCTACACAATAGATGTCAGTAGCAAACCCCTGCAGACATTTCCAAATGTCTCCAGGGTAGGAGTGACAACCGTGCATGTGGTGAAAACCACTGGGCTGGGGTACCCACCGGAAACTGAGAGCAAGCATTATACATAGGTGGACTATTAAACCATTCCAATTAACATCTATGCATCTGACTTTTATAATTCACCATTCTTTTAGATGGCCTAATCAATGCAATAAAATAAAACAAAACACATGTACATCAAATCTACCATTATTTGTAGCTGTGAATTCATTTGCAAAGAAGACATTCCTTTCTGATGGCTTCTATCTTATCTTGGAAGAGTTTTAAGAGAAGTCATTTACTGAAGTCAATGAGGAGGAAAAAGCATGGATGGGCGTTCTAGGGAGAAATAAAAATATGTGTCTTAGGGAGAGTGAGAGCATGCTGAGAGACAAAACAGCATGATTATGGGTTGCATTCATTTATGGTTGAGGCTGATGATCATGAAGTATTCATATTTTTATTTCCAAAAAAAACTGTAGCAGAGATTTTGGTCAGCTTCTCACCAATGGCCTACCAATATCCTCCAAGTGGGCTCCTACTCCCTCTCCATAGCAAGCACTTTTATTCCAGTTATGTGAAAACTACCAGCTGCTATCTTTTCCTAGACTGCAAATAAAAATTAATTCAGAAATATATAAAGTTTTATACAATGTAATGTTAAGAATATGTAAATAAATAAGGTAATTTTTGGAAAGTTTGTCAGTATATATCAAAGAGAAGAATGTTCCTACCATTGTCTCAACAATTCAGTTTCTAGGAAATTTTCCTAAAGTAATAATTGTGCAAGAACAAAAAGATATAATCAGCAGCATTGCTATAGTATTAAAAAATTGGAAACAATTTAAATATTCTCCCTAGGGTATCAGTTAAGTAAATATCAGTGCACACATGCAGTGGTCTCTGATACTGCATTAAAAATAATATTGATAATGTATTATTGAATAAAAAATTGCAGGTTATAGGCAAGCATTCATGGTGTAATCTTATTCGTAAAATACTATAGGAAGATAGGTATTTCTTTAAGGCTATTTTTGTTTGTTTTTTTTCAAAGACAGGGTCTTAGTCTGTCACCATGGCTGGAGTGCAGTGGCCTAATCACAACTCACTGAAACATCAAATTCCTGGGCTCAAAAAATCCTCTTGCCTCAGCACCTAGATAGAATAACTGAGATGCAAGCATGCGCCACATGCATAGCTACTTTTTTACATTTTTTTGTAGCGATCAGGTCTCATTATGTTGCCCAGGCCAGTCTTAAACTCTTACCCTTAAGTGATTCTCCTGATTTGGCCTCCCCAAATGCTTGAATTACAGGCATAAGCTACAGTGCTTAGCCATCTTTAAGACTATTTTTCAACTATTTATCAAAGTATTACCTATGATTATGTCTAGGCAGTGGTATTTGGATAACTTTCATGGTTTTTTTTTTTTTTTTTTTTTTTTGGACTTTTTGGATCATTAGTCTTTTCTACATAGAGCATACTTTTTTTTTGATAAAACAGCAAAATGGTTTCCAAAAGCATGAAAATGGTCAAATGACTGACATTGACAGTCAGTGCTGAAGACAAAATGCTTTGATAAACTAAGTATCAAAAACTTTGAGTTAGATCCCTCCTCTTTGAGATGACTAAGTCTATTTTATACAGAAGAAGGCTGACTCACAGGGTCTGGCCTAAAAGCAGAAGCTGATGTGCTCTGCATATGTATTTAGTCTGCAAAGCCATCATTCTTATTGAAAACTCTACAGCTTATTTAGCAAAAACAAATAATAATATTCAACTCTGCAACTCTGCAGCCACAGTCAAGACCTGTCTGTGTGTTCATTTTTCTAGTATATGGCCTCCGCTTGGCTGCCTCGCCCAGAGGCCTGGTACCTTCTGACCTGCTCACTAGTATTGGCCAGTTGGCTGCTTGGCATCTTTCCCAGCAGTCATTGCTCTCCAAGCACAACATCTATCATTGCTCCAGTCAGAAAGATGACATCTACCTGATGGGTGGGCAGAAGCGTCTTCTCTTACCATATGCTAGGAATTGTCAGGGGCTGTTCACGCCAAGACTGGCTACTTTTAGTGCCAGGAAACAGGCCTTTTCCAAAGCCTGCCAAAAAAAATACAAATAAAAATTTAAAAAACCAATTTTCACATATCAAATTTTGAGTTGAGTAGTTGTGTAACAAGTGATGCAGAACAGAGAATTATGGACATTTTTCTGGCGTCGACACATGCAACACAGAAGAGAAGAGCAGTTCTCATCTGTGAAATAAGAGTGAGAACAAAAAATCTCTGACCTACATAAATATGAAGTTTAGACCTAGCCTCAGGCAGAGACAGTGGGTGGCTCACCTATCCAGTGTCAGTTAATGAACATCAAAATGCCCACCTAGGTTGGAAGCTGCAGTTCTCACCATATGAGTCATTCTTTGGGATTAAAGCGTTCTCTGATGAAGGGTCCTGTTGAGTCCCTATCTGCTCTTTGGGGGTACAGAACAATGTTAAGCCACTGTCTCCAATTACCATATTTGTGCAGATTACCTGATTAGATATAGTAGATAAGTATATTTTAATGAAATCATGCAAAATCAGGAAATATTGGGGGCACCTGGTGCCACTGTTTGCTGTTGAATAGAGACTTCTGCGCCATCAGAGAACACGACAAGGACACAGGCCTGCGATTCTCAGGACCATATCCAAAGAGAAATTCAGAAGAGAGGAAGGAATTACAGTCCTGTCAAAGATAAAATAGAAGAATGGCCCAAGCACAGTTTGGGGACTCAGTCTGGCAAGACCCCCTGAGCTAAGCTTGGGACACTGTCAGAACAGAGGGAAAAAACCCAGCTGAGAGGTGCTAGGAGAGTGAAAGGCAGAGAAAGAATGAACCTCAAATCCAAGGAGCAAGAGTGGGGAATGCAAGAGGCTGCTGCATGGGCAGAAGATAATTGGCCCACAGAGAATGGGGAAGACGCAGGGGTGGATACGGTCAGGCAGTTCAGGCGCAAGTCCCAGGACTCAGTCAAGGAGTTTTTTCTGTTGCCCTTGAGCATGCGCTCCAGGACAGGCAAAGCTGCTTTCACACACCCATCAACTTCACAGGCTGCTACAGGACCCCCAAACCTCATTTTAACTTACAGCAGTCTCATCAGATCAGGTCTTCAACAGTAGCCGAAGCTTTCCGCTCCTGGGGTTTCTGTTTGCTTTGTGTTTCCACCTGGTTGTGCCCATCCAGCCAACTTTTTACAAGAGCATGTGTGTGCAAGTGTATAGGAGGACATGCTTGTGTATACGTATTTGTAAAATGTATTGCTAATTGTTCCCATGACAAGATTTTGCTCTCAAAACATACTTTGATGCTTTTATGTATGCCTTTCTTGGTTATTTGGCCATTGTTATAGGATGACCAAAACAGAGTGATATGGTTTGGCTGTATCCCCACCCAAATCTCATCTGGAATTGTAGCTCCCACAATTTCCACATGTCGTGGGAGGGACCTGGTGGAAGGTAACTGAATCATGGGGGCAGGTCTTCCCTGTGCTGTTCTCATGATAGTTTCATGAAATCTGATGGCTTTTTAGTTTAGTTTTGTTTTTTGAGGATTCTCACTCTGTCATGAGGCTGGAGTGCAGTGATGCAATCTTGGCTCACTGTAACCTCTGTCTTCCAGGTTCAAGTGATTCTTCTGCCTCAGCCTCCCAAGTAGCTGGGAATTACAGGTGCCCACCAGCATGCCCAGCTGATTTTCGTATTTTTAGTAGAGACCAGGGTTTCACCATCTTGGTCAGGATGGTCTTGATCTTTTGACCTCATGATTCACCCTCCTCAGACTCCCAAAGTGCTGGGATTATAGGGATGAGCCACCATACTCGGCATCTGATGGTTTTTTAGGAGAGTTTCCCTGCACAAGCTCTCTCTTGTCTGCCACCATGACTTTTACCTTCTGCCATGATTGTGAGGACTCCCCACCCATGTGGAATTATGAGTTCACTAAACCTTTTTCTTTACCAATTACCCAGTCTTGGGTTTGTCTCTGTCAGCGGCCTGAAAATGGACTGATATGCAGAGCTACAGTCAAAGGCAACACGCTCTATAACACTTAGTCCTAACCTTTGTGGGAAGTTAGAAGTATTCTAAAACTTTCTTTCTTATTCTGGGAAGCTTAGAACTTAGTAATTCTGCTAACCAGAAGCCATTAAGGGGAGAAAAATCAACAGAAAAATCCCTATTTTCTAGTAGCCCTGGTGTTAGACCCATGTTTCAATCCTGGTTAGCAGTTTGCTAGCTTGATATCTCTATGTATTTCAGGGTTCTTATCCATACATCAGGGAAAATAACAGAACACAACTTGTAGAAATAGTGCTTAAAAGAGCATTACCTATCATTTGACTACTTTTTTTTTTTTTTTTTTTTTGGTCTTCTAATGTAGCAAGAGGCAGTTAAACAGAATTTAAAGACAAATAAAGATAGTAACAAACCATGTTTATGGTATGAATACCAAAAACATGGTTTCATACCATAAACATGGTTTCTATGAGTCAATAAAAAATGATTAAAGAATATGAACAGGTAATTCTCAAAAGAGTATATAAATAACCCCCAAATCCAAGAAATGACATTTCTTTAAAAAATAAGAAAAATGCAATGGAAACATAATCACATTTTTTCCCCTAAGTTGGTAAAGCTTTAAAAATTTGATTTTATCCAAGTTGGCCAGTGGAGTGGGACACAGGGTATCCCCAACAGTGTGGGGGAAAATATAAATCACTGTGACTATAAAAGCAATGTTATTATTTTTTAAATTGACAGACTGAACATATTTGTGTAGTACCATAAGGTGTTTCCATACATACTTTTTGTCATATAATTATTCAGTCAGGTTAGTGGATCCCATCACCTCATGCATTTATTTCTTTGTGGTGAGAACATTCAGAAGCCTCTCTTCTAGCTATTTGGTAACATACAATATTTTGCTATTAACCATCATCAACCTATTGTGCAACAGAACACCAGAACTTATTTCTCCTGTCTAATTGTAACTTTCTACCCATTGACGAACTTCTCCCTATCCTCCCCTCCACACTGTCTTCCACAGTTTCTGGTTCTTACTGTTCTACTCTTTGCTTCTATGATAACTTTTTTTTTTCTTAGATCCCCCATATGAGTGAGATAATGTGGTATTTGTCTTTATATGTCTGGCTTATTTCACTTAACATGATGTTCTCAATGTTCATAATGGTGTTGCAAATAACATGACTTCATTTCTTTTTATGGCTGAATGGTATTCTATTGTGTATTTATACATTATTTTCTTTATTCATTCCTTCATTGTTAGACATTTAGGTTGATTCCATACTCTTGCTATTGTAAATAGTGCTACGATAAACATGAGTGTGTGGATATATCTTTAACATACAGATTTCATTACCTTTGGAATATATACCTAGTAAAGGGATTGCTATGTCAGATGGCAGTTCTATTTTTAAATTTTTGAGGACCTCCATACTGTTTTCCATAATGAATGTACTAGTTTACAATCCTGCCAACAGCCTGTAAGTGATTTCTTTCTTCCACATCCTCTACAACATAGTGAGGTGGTATTCTATTGTGGTTTTAATGTGCATTTTCCTAGTAATTTGTGACATCGAACTGATGGCCTTCTATGTCGTATTTTGAGAAATATTTATTAAGTTCTTTTTCCCATTTTTTAATCAGGTTATTTGTGGTGTTTGCTGTCTTTATGTTCTGGATATAACCCCTTGTCAGATGTATAGTTTGAAAATATTTTCTCCCCATTCTGTAGATTGTCTTTCATTCTGTTACTGGTTTCTTTTCCTGTGCAAAACGTTTTTTCCTTATGTTTTTCTTCTAATAGTCTTATAGTCTAGGGCATGACATTTAAGTCTTTAATCTATTTGGAGTTGATTTTTGGTTACAGTGAATGTCGGGAACTAGTCTTACTATTCGGTGTATGTATATACAATTGTCCCAGCATCATTCATTGAAGAGACTGTCTTTTTCTGCATTTCTGAATGCATTGTGTGTTTTTAGCACCTTTGTTGAAAACCAGTTGTCTGTAGGTGTGTTAATTTATTTTTGCGTTCTCTGTTTTATTCCATTTTTTTTTATGCCAGTACCATGTTGTTTGTGTAATGTATTTTGAAACCAGGTAATGTAATGCCTCTAGCTTTCTTCTTCTTGCTCAGAATTGATTTGGATATTTAGGGTCTTTTGGGGTTCCCAATTTTGGGATTGGTTTTCTATTTCTGTAAAGATTTTTTATTTCTGCGAGACATTGGTATTTTGATAAGAATTGCATTAAATCTGTAGATTGCTTTAGTAAGTAATAGGCATTTTAACAATATCAGTTATTCCAATCAATGAATATGGAATTCTTTCGGTTTATTTATGTCCTCTTCAATTTCTTTTGTTAAAGTTTTATAGTTTTCGGTGTAGAGCTTTTCCTCCTTATTGGTTAAATTTATTCCTAGTTATCTTTGTTTTGTAGCTATTTTAAGTAAAATTGTTTTCATGATATTTTTAACAGACACTTTGCTATTAGTACGTAGAAACCCCACTGATTTTTGTATGTTGATTTTGTATCAAACAAACATTCTTATATGCACATCTTTGTGCACTGAGTATTGAATCAGAATAAATTCAGAAAGTTTGCCAAAAAAAAAAAAAAGAAGAAGAATAAGAAAGACCCATCTGTGTGCTCTCTTAAAGAAACCTATCTCACATGTAATGATAGCCATAGGCTCAAAGCAGAGGTATGGAAAAAGAACTATCAAGCAAACGGAAAACAAATAGAGCAGTGGTTGCTATTCTAATTCCAAACAAAACATATTTTAAACTAACAATGATCAAAAAGGACAGGAAGGGCACAACATAGTGATAAAGGGTTCAAGTCAATAAGAAAACTTTATCCTAAATATATATACAGCTAAGACACATACACCAAGATTCACAAAACAAGTTCTTAAAGATCTACATGGAGGCTAGATAACCACACAATAATAGGGGAATATGTCAATACCCCACTGACAGTATCAGACACATCCTCAAGACAGAAACTAATAAAGATATCTGGGGCCTAAACTTGACAGTGGATTAAATGGACCTAACAGATGTCTACAGAACATTACACCCAACCAAAACAGAATACACGAGCTTATCATGTGTACATGACACATAATCTAAAATTCACTACATGCACAACCATAAAGCAATTCTTAGTAAATACATATATAAAAACATACTAACTACACTCAAAGATCACAGCAAGATTAAAAAAATAAATCAATACAAGAAGATGCCTCTCAGCCATGATTACATGAAAATTAAACAAACTGCTTCTGAATGACTTTTGGGTAAACAACAAGATTAAGGCAGAAATCAAAAAATTCTTATAAAGTAAAGAAAACAAAGGTAAAACATACCAGAAGCTCTGGAACACAGCTAAAGCAGTGTCAAGAGGGAAATTCATAGAGCTAAATGCTCATATAAAAAAGGCAGAAAAGTCTTAAATTAACAACCTAGCATGACACCTAGAGAAGCTAAGAAAACAATAGCAAACCAAACCAACCCCAAAGCTTGCAATTCTGGTGAATGATCTCTACAAGAGATTACAAAGAAGAAAAGAAATAACCAAAATCAGAGCTGAATTGAATGAAACTGAGATGCACATGACCATTTAAAAGATAAATGAACCCAAAAGTTGGGTTTTAGAAATAATGAATAAAATTGATAGACCACCAGGTAGACTAATAAAGAAAAACAGAGAAAATAAAAATAAACATAATCAGAAATGACAAAGAGTATATTACCATCTACCCCATAGAAATACCAAAAAAAACTTCAGAGACTATTATCTACACCTCTATGTATATGAAAAAGAAAACCTAGAATAAATGAAATCATTTTATTTGTGTATTTTGAACCAACCTTGCATCCAGGAATAAAGCCTATTGGAAAAAGAAAATGAAGTCAAATTATCTTTCTTCACAGATGATATAATTTTATATATAAAAATCCCAATGAAATCATTTCTTCTCCCAAAATTAAACCAAAAAGGAATTGAAACCCTGAAAGGATGAATAATGAGTTCTAAAATTGAATCAGTTGGGGGGGAAAAAAAAAAAAAAAAAACCCTGCCAACTAGAGGCTGGGCATGGTGGCTCACACCTGTAATCCCAGCACTTTGGGAGGCCAAGGTGGGTGGTCACCTGAAGTCAAGTCAAGAGTTCAAGACCAGGCTGGTCAACATGGTGAAAACCCTGTCTCTACTAAAAATACAAAAATTAGCTGGGCATGGTGGCGGGCTCTTGTAATTCTTAGCTACTTGGGAGGCTGAGGCAGGAGAATCACTTGAACTCAGGAGGTGGAGGTTGCAGTGAGCCAAGATCACACCACTGCACTCAGCCTGGGCAACAAGAGCAAAACTCTGTCTGAAAACAAACAAAACCCGACAAACTAGAAAAAGCCCTGGACCAGAAGAATTCACAGCTGAATTCTCAGAGACATATAAAGAACCAATACTATATAAAGTACTAATACTATATAAACTATTTTTAAAAATCGAGGAGTAGGGACTCCTCCCTAAGTCATTTTATGAGGCCAGTATAATTCTGATACCAAAACCTGGAAGAGACACAACAAAAAGAAAATATCAAGACGATGTACTCGATGAACAGAGATGCAAACATTCTCAACAAATACTAGGAAACTGAATCCAGGAGAACATCAAAGAGCTAACCCAACACAATCAAGAAGGCTTTATTCCTGGGATGCAAGTTTGGTTCAAAATACACAAATCAATTTATGTGATTTATCACATAAAATGAACTAAAAAAAAATCACACATTTCAATAGATGCAGAAAAGGCTTTTGATAAAATTCAACATTATTTCATATTAAAAAACCACAGTAAACTAGGAATCAGAGGAGAAGACCTCAGAATAATAAGAACCATCTATGACCAATATCATAATGTGCAAAAGCTAGAATCACTTCTTTTGAAAAGCCAGAGTAAGACAAGGATGCCCACTCTCACCACGCCTATTCAACATAGTACTGGAAGTCCTAACCAAAACAATCAGGCAAGAGAAGGAAATAAAAGGCATCCAAATAGGGAGAGAGAAAGTCAAATTATCTCTCTTCACAGATAATATAATTTTATACATAAAAAAACCCAATAATCTCTGCTTAAAGGTTTCTAGATCTGATAAACAACTTCAACAGTTTCAGGTTGCAAAATCAAGGAAGAAATGCAGTAGCATTTCTGTACACCAATAACATCCAAGCTGACGGCAAAATCAAGAATGCAATCACATTCACAATAGCCACTAAGAGAATAAAATATCTAGAAATACAGCTAACCAAGAAAGTGAATTATCTTTACAATGAGAATTACAAAACACTGTTGAAAGAAACCAGAGATGACACAAACAAATTGGAAAACGTTCTATGCTCATGGATAGGAAGAATTATTATTATTTAAATGTCCATACTGTCCAAAGCAACTTGTGGATTTAATGCTATCCCTATAAAACTACCAATAATATTTTTCACAGAATTATTTAAAAAGTATTCTAAAATAATATGCAACCAAAAAGAAGCCTGAGTAGCCAAGGCAATCCTAAACAAAAAAGAACAAAGCTGGAAGCATCAAAATATTTGGCTTCACACTATACTATAAGGCTATAGTAATCAAAACCAGCACAATAATGTTACAAAAAAACGCACACATTCAGCAATAGAATAGGTTAGAAAACCCAGAAAGAAAGCCACACACTTCTATAGCCATCTTATCTTTGACAAAGTTGGCAAAAACAAGCAATGAGGAAAAACTCCCTGTTGAATAAATGTTACTGGGATAGCTAGCTAGCTATATGCAGAAGATTGAAACTGGATCCTTTCTCCCACCATATGCAAAAATAAACTCAACATGGACTACAGATCTTAAGTGTAAAAACAAAAACTGTAAAAACCCCAGGAGAAAACCTTGGTAATATTATTCTTGACATAGACCTTGACAAGGATTTCATGAAGAAGTTTCCAAAAGCAATTGCAACAAAAACAAAAAAATGACAAGTGGGATCTAATTCAAAAAAGTGCTGTTGCACAGCAAAAGAAACTATCAATGGAGAAAACAGACAACCTACAGAATAGAGAAAAATATTTTCAAACTATGCATCTGACAAAGGTCTAATATTCAGAATCTACAAGGAATTTAAACAAATTATCACACATAAAACAACACAATTAAAAATGGGGAAGAGACATGAGTAGACTCTTCTGAAAAGAAGACACACACATGGCCAGCAAGCATGTGAAAAAATGACAACATCGCTAATCACCAGAGAAATGCAAATCAAAACCAGAATGATATACCACTGCACATTAGTCAGAATGGATATTCCAAAATAAAACACAGATGCCCATGAGGCTTCAGAGAAAAGGAAATGCATGTACACTGCTGGTGGGAACATAAATTAGTTCAGGCACTGTGGAAAGCAGTTTGGAGATTTCACAAAGAACTTAAAACAGAAATACCATTCAACCCAGTAATCCCATTACTGGGTACATAACTAAAGGAATATAAATTGTTGTACCATAAAGACTCATGAACACATACGCCCATTGTAGCATTATGTACAGTAGCAAAGACACTGAATCAACATAGATGCCATCAGTGGTGGACAGGACAGAGAAAATGTTGTACATATACACCATGGAATACTATGCAGCCATAAAAAAGTATAAAATTATGTCCTTTGGAGCAACATGGTGGAGCTAGAGGCCAGTAACCTCAGTGGATTAATACAGAAACAGAAAAACAAATACTGCATGTTCTAACTTATAAATGGAAGCTCAACACTGAGTACACCTGGCCAAAAGAAGGGGAAAATAGGCACTTTGTCCTACTTGAGGGTGAAGAGTGGGAGGAGGATGAGAATTAAAAAACTACCTATCAGGCATTATGCTTCTTAACTTGGTGATGAAATAATATGCACTCAAAATCCCCATGGTGTACAATTTACCCATTTAACAAATCTGTACCTGTATCCCCTGAACCAAAAACAAAAGTTGGGAAGAAAAAATCAATTATTTTTTTTTTTAAATTTTTTGGTGGGTCTCTATTTTGTTTATATCTGCTCTGACTTTTATTATTTCCTTCCTTCTACCAAGTTTGGATTTGTTTGTTCTTGTTTTCTTAATTTCTTGAGATTAATAGGTTATTTATTAGAAATCTTGTGTTTTCTTTGATGTAGGTTTTTATTGCCATAAGCTTCCCTCCTAGAACTGCTTTTGCTGTGTTTTAGTATAATGTGTTTCTATATGCCTGAAATTTATTTTTTAAGTTACCTTTTTATTTCTTCATTGATCTATTGGTTGTTGAGGAGCATGTTATTTAATTTATAAGTATTTGTAAAGCTTCTGAAGTTTTTCTTGTTAATTTCTAATTTTATACTACTGTGTATCATAAAAATATATACTTGATATAATCTCCTTAATAAATTTGTTAGGACTTGTTAGGGGCATAGCATGTGATCTATTCTGAAGAATTTTCTACGTGTAGTTAAGAAGAATGTGTATTCTCTAGTTGTTGGATAAAACATTCTGTAAATGTCTGTTAGAACTATTTGGTCTATGAAGTTTCAGTTTGGTTTCTCTGTTGTTTTTCATCTGAATATGTTGATTGTTGAAAGTAGGGTGTTGAAATCACCTGCTATTATTGTATTGCTCTATCTTCTTTTAGAGTGAATAATATTTACTTTATATATTTTGGTGCTCCAGTGTTGGGTGCATACATATTTAGAATTGTTGTGCCCTCTCACTAAATGGATCCCTTTATTGTTATGTAATGACCTTCTTTTTTCTTAACAATTTTTGACTTAAAGACTTTATCTGATAAAATTGTAGCTACTACTACTTGCTTCTGATTTTCATTTTCATGAAATATCTTCCTTTACTCTTTTACTCTCATTCCATCTTTGTCTTTAATAGTGAAGTGTGTTTCTATTAGTCAGTATATATTTGGATTTTTTTTTATTCACTCAGCCACTCTGTCTTTTAATGGGAGAATTTAAATAATTACATTGATGATTGTTACTAATATACAAGGACTTAACTCTTGCCATTTTGTTATTTGTTTTCTGATTGCTTGGTAGATCTTTTGTTTCTTTTTCTCTTGTTGCTTACCTCTTTTGTTCGGTGCTTTTCTGTGGTGCAAAGCTTTATTTCCTTTTCCTTTTTCATTTTCTGTATCTGCTGTAATTTCTTTATTTGTGATTTGCATGGGGCTAACATGAAGAGTCTTGTAGTTACAATTGATTAATTTAAACTAATGGTAACATTGTTTGCTTAAAAATACTTTAGACTTTATCCCCCCACACAATTGATACTTTTATTGCCTCAATTTACTTCTTTTTGTATTGTATGTTTCTTAACTACTAATTATAGCTATTGTTTTTGATTATTTTGTCTTTAAAGACTCCATATTAGAGGATTGAAAGATTTACATAATACCTTTACAACACTGGAATATTCTGAGTTTGATTAATGAACTTACCTTTGCTGCTGAGTTTTAAACTTCCTGTGTTTTCATGACAGAAATTATTGTCATTTTATTTTGAGTTGTAATACTCCTTTAACCATTTCTTGTAAATCCAGCATAATAGTGATAAATTCCTTCATTGTTTGCTTGACTGTGAAGGTCTATTTATCCTTCATTTTTAAAGAATATCTTTACTGAAAATAATATTCTTGGTGAAAATTTTTTTCCTTCAGCATTTTGAATATATCAAACCATTCTTTCCTGGCTTACATAATTTCTTCTAAAAAATCTGCTCATGTTCAGTTGGAGATTCTCTTATATGTAATTTGATGTGTTTCTCTTTCAGCTTCTAGAATTCTTTTTGTTTTTTGCTTTTGACATTTTTATTATACTGTGCCTTGGAGAGAATCTTTTTGCACTGAATCTGCTGGGAACCTATGAACTTCTTGGATCTGGATATCCATATATCTCTTAATACTTTGAAAGTTTTTAACTAATACTTTGTTACATAATTTTTCTGTGTCACTATTGATCTCTTTCTGGCACACTTAAGTTGCAAAGATTTGTTTGCTTAACTCCATCCCTTGAGTCCCATAGGCTTTCTTCATTCTTCTTCATTCTTAAGTCTTTTTTTCTCCTCTGAGTTATATCAAAAATCCTATATTAAAGTTCAAAATATTATTTTTTCAACTTGAACTAAGTTGTGGTTGAAACTCGTAATTTATTTTTTATTTTATTCATGAATTCTTTAGTTCCAAGGTTTCTATTGGGTTATTTTTTAATATAATATCTATCTTTATTGAATTTCTCATTGAGATTATAAATTGTTTTTCTTATTATTTATCTTTTATCTTTTTTTCTTTAAGATCACTCTTTTGCATTTTTTTTCTGCATTTTGTAAATGTCCCTTTCTTTGGGGTCTGTCACTGGAGACTTACTGTGTTCCTTTGTGAGTCTCATGGTTTCTTGTTTTTCATGTTTTCTGTGTCCCTTTATTGATACCTGTACAGCTAGTGGAATAGTTGCATTCTTTAATTTTATGGACTAGCTTTCATAGGAAGAAACATTTTCCCTATGGGTTGATGGGTTCTACCGTATCAGTAGGATGTGGTGCATTAATTTTGATTCTGGGTAGATTCAGTTGCATGGACTTCATGCAGTTTCTTCTGCTATAAATCTTTCTCACCAGTGTGTTGTCTCAGTAGTCTAAGCTGAAGAAGTTTGTGATAACAATAGCATTATTTTACTGTAGGGGAGGACACTTGACTGATTATTGGGCTAAACATGATGAACCAGACCACTCTATGGCAGTCTGCCAAGGGGTCAGGATCAGCTCTTGGGTTGGCCAGGAGTGCATGCAGGCTTATCAGGCTGGCTGTGCTGCATGGGTATGCACAGGCGAGGTTGGCCAATCAACTTTAAAGGAGCTTCCCTGCTGTGCATATCTGGCTGTTTCCTGGAGGTAGTGGGGTGCCACATGGGTTTGAACATTGTAGTTTTGTTTGTTTCATCTGCCCTAGGCTCTAAGCAGCAAGATTTATTGTAGCAGGTACTCATGTTAAAATTATGTTATGGTGGCAGAGACTCAAGGATGAAGAGAGGCAATGGCTACTGGTCCCCAGTGCAAGACACACTCTGGCAATAGGTTCAGTTTCAAGATTACAGCATGCCATTACAGCTTAGATCACAGGAGCGAGGAATGCCCAAGGCAGGCTTCTACGCAGGCAATGCAGTTGTGGAAACTTCAGGCTACTCCAAACTAGATTCCAGACCTGTCAGAATTAGAGGACTCTCCTGTAGCAAGGATTGCTGGCATTTGAGGTAAAAATGAGGACTGCAGGGGATCTCTAGCTTACCTTTCTCCATAAGAAAAAGTCTCCCCCGACTTTGAGCTAAT